CCCCACCCCTCGAGCGGGCGCGCTGGCCCCCATCCTTCGTCACCCCCACGCGTGCGGAGGACGCTCCTGCCCTCTTCCCACGCTGTGGACCCACCGCTTTTGTTCTGGACTCGGGATCCCAGGTTGAAACAAGTCCCTCAAACCTCTCTGGCAGCCAAGAGCGCAAGGAGTTGATTTTCATTTTTTCCTCCCTGGCTCTTCCTTCCTCCCCACTCACATGCCTTCCCAGCTCTCCTTTTCTCTCCTCATTTTCACTTTTATTAAATGGGTTTGTTCCGTATATTGACCCTCAGAGCTATTTCGTAAACTAGTATACACGAAAGCGAGAGCCGGATCCCACCAGTGAGATCCCACCTGTAGAGGACTTTAATTAGAGTGGTCTCTAGTTCTAGCCTTAATTTAAAATACTGTGTGTACCTGAGGATGGAGTCTAGATTTTTCTTTCATCTCTTACTTGAATTTGAAATCCTCCTCAAACTTCACCTTCCAGGATTTCTCCGTCCTTGCTTTCCCACAATCTTGGCCGGGGGGGATCCGCCACGACTGTTGAACACAGGAATGAATGAATGATGTATTTCCCAGAGCACACTGGGGCTTTTTCTTGTTTTGCTGAGGTTGGAAGGGCCAGAGAGAGAACCATATATACAGATACAGAACTGCATGTAACTGCTTAGATAAACGTGTTTCCTATTTTATTGCTTGGGCTTGGGCAGGGCTTGAACATTCCACCATTAAGCTGTGGCTTGAGCAGTTAGGAGGAGACAGCTGAACTGGCATTGTGGTATGCTGGGTTTGGGTCCTGGAGATTCTAAAGAAAGATCTAAATTCTTCAAGTGGGGAATGATAAACATTGTATCGATGGGAGATGGAAAATAAATAAATTGGATATCCCTCCCTCCCCCATACCCATTATTTGGGAAAACAGAAAGGGAAGTGAAGAGAGAAATCCTCCCACTCCGATCCCCACTTACCTCCACATCCACCTTCTCTTCCAAGAATCTAATGGATGAAGTGGCAAGAAGTATTGGGCCTGATTTTACCAACAATGATCTCAGATCTCAAGGATCATGGTGAAAGGCATTCAGAAAGATCTTGGGGATACAGGGATCCACTGAATGAGGACAAGTGTAAAGTCCGCTTGGACCCCTAAAACTTAATGGCACCAGAGAAGATGAGGCTCAGGAACTACAGCTTAATAGTGATACAAAGTGTAAAAAGTTTCAGTGAGTCAGAGTGTGAAGAGACCACCAGGGTGGCTAATACAGTCTTAGGTAACCTTATGTAATAGCACTACAGGATCTAGATTTCCCATGATGGTGTTCTTGGTCAGCCCGGCCCTGCCAAAATGGATACTCACAACCTGGAACAAAAGGTCTTGGAAATCCCAGCATGTGAGGCGTGAAGAGAGGGTAGAATGATAGGAGGGTGTCCTTCGGAAGGAATCTGTCTCTTTGACTAAATTTAAGAGGAAGAACGCAAGTCTGTAGGTGAAATCTTTCTGGCCACAAAGAGGGGAGAGGCCTCCTAAGGTAGAGGTCTCCTCGCCCCTTGGAAAGATGTCAAAGAAAATATTCAGACATCTCAAAGAGGTCCTCATGTCCATCTATTCCCACTTGGAATTCTATCAATAAGGTGAGGGTTCCTCCAGTTAAAAAAAGAAAAAAGATCTAAAATGACTTCCCTTTCTCGTGTAATTTCTGTAACCTCCAGGACACACCCACCTACCCCTCCAGCGCTGTAATGAAGCTACAGATGGTACCAATCTGTGGAACTTGTTCAAGGCCATTTTCACGTGTACACCCCCGACCAAGTTCCCATGCGCCCTCACCTGATTTCCTACACTCACCATCTGGGGTGTTCACACCTGCACTTGCCTTTTACCAACCCCTTCGCCAAAAGGCAGCCAGAGTGACCTTTCAAAGACATATCAGTTCCTGTCATTTGTCTACTTAGAAACCTGCATTGGTTTTCTAACAGGTTCTCAGTCCTCAAAAGGTGTCCATAGTCCTCACATCCATCTCTCCCTACCCCTCCAATTGACTGATGCCTGTTCTGTCCCTGCCTCTCTGCCCTTCAATCACACTGCCTCTTTCCTCTGGAGAGCCCTCGTCCCCCCTGCCACCGAGCCTTTGCACAGGTGATTCTCATTGCTGGGAAGACCCTCTTCATCTCCCTCCCCTCCCCACTCCAGTTACCTCCTACTTACTCTTCAGACTTGAGCTCACAAGCCCCATGCAGTCTCCATGCACCCTGTTCTTTCTTATCTAGCACTGGCCTCCATTTCCAGCTGTGGTTATATCCCTGCTGTCTCTCCCCAGCTAGCCTTGAAGCTCTCGGAGGGGGTGCGCGTCCGTTTAGCTAGAACACCTGACACAGTGCTCGGCACGTAGTAAGCCCGGGTGAACTCCTTACTGCCTCACCAAGTGAGTGAAGGAATTTACAAATTTCACCACATGCGCTTCAAACTGTGGGCAGAAGAAGCTTTTCTTGGATTGACATTTTAGAAACGTATTCATCAATTTAGATGTGTTCCCTGACTTTACCTTGTCAGGTTAAAAAAAGAGGACGTTTGTATCCACGTTATGAGCTTCACGGAAAGAGACAACTTTTTACACTAAGAAAATATATAAGACTGTTGAGGTCACATAGAAGGAAAGTAGTCATGCTGGTTGCAGGATTGCTATCTTACTCTATCTCTGCCACTAATAAAAATCTAACACGGGATGAGTCAGAATCGTCTGTCGGAGGTGAATAAAATCTGGCTCACGTTCATACAGACGTGAAAGCCAGGAACGAAGAGGCTTTGAAAGCCTGGGTTGAGGAGGAGGTGTGATTCGCTGCAATGAGCTGAGTGCCCAGGGCCACCGGCATGCGGGCAAGTGTCCTTCCTTTGTTCTGGGGTCCCTTTTGCACCGCGTGGCATGGCTGGTGGCTGGGAGCAACTCAGGATGGTGCCGGGTGGCATCTTACCTCTCCCAGCCCTCCTGTGGGCTCAGGTGGGTCCCAGGTGGCGGCCTGCCCTCCTGGCAAAGCCCAGTAGCACTGGGAGCAGAAACCAGGACCGGAGAGTGGGCGCCGTGTTTGACATGCCGGACCAGCCAGCTCTTCTTCAGAGGCACCGGGAGCCATGGCATGCTGTAGTTCTCCCTTTCCCCTCTCCCTTCTCCCTCTCCCCTTCCCTCTCTCCTTCCCTGCTGGTGTGCTTTCCCAATGCCCACTTCATCTCTTTTCCTTTCTTACATGCCTGTCTTCTAGATTTTCTTCTCTCTCTCCCAATTACTTCCCCTCATCTGAATCTCCTCTTTGGTCCCTTTGTCCCCTCTCTTCCCTCCTCCTCCCCTTCCCTGGCCCCTCTTCAGCTCTGTCCCCTCTGTAGGCATGAGCCTGACTGAATGCCTGGCCACCCTCCAGGGAAGTCACTCTTAGGTGGGCACCTTCCTGAGCCCCTGGTCCTTCCTCCACTTGTTCAGCCCCTGCTCTGAGGTCTGAGGATGACAGAGCGGGGCTGCTGCAGAATCAGGGAAGAGGAGAGATTGAATCCTGCGTCCACACCACCGCCCAGCATTGCGGCTCTAAGAGCTTTCGGAGTCCCGAATAGGGTTAGGACTCTGGGGCTTCTTCAGAACCAGGAATGAAAACAGCTGTAGGTCAAAAGAAAAGCTATCGTACACACACACAAAATAATAATCACGAATGAAAAATAAGTTGACTTTGAAATCCCAAGTTTGAAGAATTGCCTTGAATTCGTCACTAGAAAGCACCCAAGGCCTCACTCTCTTGGCTCTGGGTGCCCCGGGAAGGGCAGGAAGCTCTGACATGCTCCCCTCTTCATTGGCTTCCAAAGAACATCCTCAGAGGCCGCCTTTGAACTTCCTCGGAGAAACTGTCTCTCAGAACTTTTGGCCCTCGGCTGCCGGGACTAATGAAGGGAGATGTCAGGACGGAACAGTGCAGCTGTTGGGCAGCTCACGGGGGGCTGTGTTGCAAAATGTGAGATTGTTGCTTCTGAAGAAGCTGTGGGATGTAGTCGGCGGTTCTGATTCTATGGGTGAGATTTGGGTCTTCGAGTGGATGAGGCCTGCTGAGATTTTTGGACTTCGAGTCAATGCTGGAAAGACTAGTGCTTTGGGGGACGTTGGGTGAAGGTATTTTGCACATGGGAAGGACATGAATTTGGGGGGCCAGAGAGTGGGCTGTTATGCACTGCATTTCCCCCCAGAAACCTTGTTGCCCTCCTAACTCCGGTACCTCAGAATGGGACCTTATTTGGAGCTAGAGTCTGTACAGATGCAATCAAGTTACAATGAGGTCATTAGAGTGGGCCCTAATCTCCTATAACTGACATCTTTGTGACAAGGGAAAATCTGGACAGAGAGATTTCCCCCACTTTCAATGGTGGTCAGTGCATGAACTTCTAGAACCTCTGAAAGTAGTGGAAAACAGGCACAGGCTGGGCACTAGGTAAGTGGGAGCTCTAGCGGAATTTCAGATGAAGGTGCTGTGGACCTTGGCTTCCTATGTCCTAGTGACTTTAGCCCGAGGATGCTCTTTTGCCCCCGGGGGCCCTGCTTCTCACCACTCACGGACCTTTAGAGCCGGAAGGACATGTGGAGGCTCTCTGTTCACCCATGAATATTACAGATTAGGGACAGAGAAACAAGTGATCGTGCAGCCTGCCTACCTCGCTGGCTCTCACCTTCGGTCTCCAAGAGCAAGGCCAGGTGCCCTCTCCAAGGGCCATGCTGCGTGAGTTCACCCTGGGCCTCATGCCTTTTGAGAACTCTCCAGAAGATGTTCATATAAATTAAACATCATCCTCGCTGCCACCAGTGAGATCCTTTTTGGTCAATTGCCAGCTAATTTGGGGAGGTCTGTGCCTTGCTTAGAGTCACCGATCCAGGAGAGGCGAGGTGGCTTTGGGAGGAGGGGACTGCCCGGGACAGCAGAGCAACAGCCGAGAGCCGCCCTGGCCTGAGCTCCCAGGGTCCCCCTTACTGTTTTGGCCCCTCCTGTGCCTCATATCTCAACTGATATCAGAGCCTTGCCTGGGGGACCCCCTGTTGTTCCCTGGGGCCTGTAAAAATAAACCTTTTAATGCTTCCAAATAAACGATTTGATTTCAGACTTAAAAATATTGTAACCGTGCAGCTCCAAGAGCTCTCAGAAATGCTTTAGGACAACTTCCTACTTCCAGGCCAGTATCAGATAACCAGGGTCAGCCCTCCTCCAAATAATCTCTTCCGTACACAGCCATCCGGGCCTTGCAAACAAGGGCAGTTGAGTGCGAACCACAAGGACTTTCCGGGCAGAAGAAGGCATAGGGTCAGGGCAGAGCACATCGGGCGCCACGGGGGCCTGGGTCTGTGAGCGAACTTGGCAATATCGCGCCTGCAAGAACTTTCTCCACGGTCTGATCCACATCAGAGGCTCCAGAGAACGTGATCAAAAGCCCTGAAAGTGCCTCCACGGCTGGTTCCGAGCCCGTTGCCTTTCCCGACTGCCCTTTCGCCTTGCGGCCATGCCTCAGAAAATGAGAAACCTAAATTCGTTGTGCCCTTCCTATCGTAAGTTCCATCTATTCTCAGGGATTTCAGACCAAAGCAAGAGACTTTGGGCCTCCAGACAGGTGCTGTCATTGGCCTGGCCCTTCCTGTTCACCTCACAGCCTCTGGAGACATGCTCAGGTACAACCCAAAGCAGGGTCAGGGTCTGAGGGGAGTGGACGGGGTGCCCACCCCCGGCCTGACCAGAACATCCATCTCCTGGGCCCCCCGACTGCAGGTTACAGGGGAAGGAACCTGAGGCAGCAAGCACTGAGGTCATCCAAGGTCACACTGTGAGGCTTGTCCAAAGTCACACCCCTGCACTTGTTCAAGGCCAGACTGCTGCTCAGCGGTGGCATGGCTGGGAGAGCCAAGGTTTTCTGCATCCGAGCCCAGTCTGCCTTCCTTTTAACTGTGCTGTCGGCATCCTCACGGCCCCTTTTGGTGTAATTCTGCCTTTCCCAGCCATGTCCTCCATTTCCTTCCTCTCATGCTAATTTTTCTGTAGGAAACAAAACTAACTTGTCATAGATACAGTGGGCGGTATCTGCACAGACCCTGTTGAGGGTCATTTAGAAACCACTTCCCCGCCCCTCCCCCCCACACACACCCCAGCTCCCCAGGTCCTGCACAGCCCATGGACCTGAAATTCCATTGTTGGTACCTGCTAATATACATACCGCACCCCTGATGAGGGGCATGTTTTAAAGTATTAACATCCAGCTCCACTCTAGTGAAAATGGAATTGTTGAGACAAGGCTGTGATAGGAGGGGTAGGAGGAAGGAACTTGAGGTGGCGTCTACCACCCTCTCCCCAGCCAGAAACCAGAATGAGAAGGATGGAAAGGCAAAACTCAAAAACCAAACTCGGTGAGTTTGGCTGGACATATCTGGAGTACACTAGTATGTCGTGTTCTTTCTCATCTCTCGGCCTTTGCCCATGCTGTTCCCTCTACCTACGATGCTTGTCCCTCCCCTTCTCCTGGCTCACTTCAGCTCATCCTTCCAGGCTCAGCTGTCAGTTCCCCTGCAGGCTCTCCTGCCCCGCTGCTCCCCGCCCCCCCCCACACCCAAGGCTGGGCATGGGCTCCTCCTCTTGTTTCTGTATCATTCTGCGCTTCCGTTACTGAACACTGAGTGCTCTGCGGTCTAAGTGCCTATTACTTGGGCCGCAGAAATCCTGCAAACTCGGAGTGGAATTAGCACCACAAGTGGCTCTTAATTTCTTTACATGGATTTAACTCCATGTTCGAGTCTATATCCTACTGGGCTGCCAGGAAATTCCATCTCAGTCCAAATGGGGCCCTGGGCCCCTCCTTAGCATCACACAGGAATCCAGGAGGATGTGGTGCTGGGAGAACTAGGGTGGCATCTTGCTAGGCATCGATACCCTCGGGGTCTGAGCCTTAGAAGACCCTTGAGATCCAGCAGCCCTCTGCATCTGTGCCAGGCACAAATCACGGGTTTCTTTGCTAGGGCGGGGAAGTCCCCCTTGTGCATCCCCTGATGTGGCCTTGCTACCTCTGGGCCCTGCCAGGGACCAGGGCACAGTCCCACTCATGTGGCTGCAGACGTCTATCCCCCACTCCATGGGAGGACACTGGCAGAAGGCTGTCTCCATTTGTCCCCACTCCTCTGGGCCACTAATCTCTCCAGTTAATAGGCTGTCATAAAACAGAGAGATGTTCCCTTCACACTGCTTCTCCTTTGGGCATTGTCAACACCCGCCAGGCAAAGATCTGTGAAAAGCCCAGACACATTCTAGAAGGGAGACATCTAGGGAGAACAAACACAAATTAATATATCAGTAAATCATCTTGATATGCTCGTTTTGATACCCAAAGGCATTTCCTGGGCCTGGCGCCTGGTCCACAGTGTATACTTAATTCAACTTAAGTTGACTCTTGGCTGGTTTAAGGCTTCCACTTAGGGTTTCTTAGGTTGTGCACTGCACAAATCTAGAGGCCCCCACTCAAATGGATTTGGTTCTTTATTAACATAGTTTTCCGGCAGATGTCTGGGCAAGTGTCTTGGAGTGGGAGGGCTCTTTTCTGCTTTGAATAAATTCTTAAGATCTAGTGGTGGCCTCGACCAAGGCCTATACCTTTTTCTGTTTTTCCTCTTTCAATTTCTTAAATGCAACAAGTGGTAAATAAGAAGCAAAATCTTGGGAAGTCAAAATCACTTAGATAATGATCCTGGGAAGTTGCTGACTTTATTAAATTACCTAAACCACAGCCAGAAGCTTAATATTTTTAAATAATTTAAAAAAGCATTACAGAAGAGTGGGAAACATGGAGAGAAGGAGAAATCAGGATCATGTCATCCCTGCTCAAAGTTATAATCAAATAATACCAAAGAGTCATGGGTACCATGTTTGCATAATCCATGGTTATATATAACTCCGAGTGTCTGTAGATCTCTACAGGTAAACTGTTCAAAGTATGGTGTTTTTTTAAAATAAAGTTTGTCTTAATCTCTTTCTTGGTGCCGTCTGACCCCATTCCTTCCTATTTCGTTTCTAGTAATGGTTGAAAGTACATTTTTCTCAAGCCTGACTAGGGCAGCTTGCATGGATATGAAGATAATTCTCAAAGGACACATCTGTGCTCTTAAAGAAAATACTCTCCATTTGTTTTTGTTTTTGTTTTTGTTTTTTTTTACAGATCATATGGCAAAGGAACCGGTGGAAGACACGGACCCTAGCACTTTATCCTTTAACATGGTAGGTTACAATCTTTACATCAATGGTGACAACTCTTGTTAATCCTTTTTTCCCTTTGTTACATTTTTATTGCTCAGTATTTACACGAAGATCAGAAACCTTGAAGTAAGGTTTTCCCAAGATAAATGTCTTTATCACAGTGTTCTCTGTGATGTAATAAACTTTGGGTTTCTCAGGGCTAAAAATGGTATTAGATTCTGTTCTTGTGATCTTCTTAGATTATATCAGGCCTTTGTATACTTGTCTGTTTTAAATACTTACCTGGCTCCTTTTAACTTCCTCTTCTTCAAAATGCAAAATATTTAATGTGAGATGAAGGAAAAAACAGGACTACTGTACAGTTAACTGGGGGCTGCCCATTGGCTAGCTGGGCACACACTGTTTGGTTCACATGTGCAACAGCCCTATAAGGTAAGCTCTGCCCATTTCATAGATGAACAGCTGAGACACAGGGGTCGGGGTAAGTGGCCCACCTTGGAAGCAGCCCAGGCGGGATGCAGACCCAGCAGCTGGCTTCAGGTCCCTGCCCTGCCTGCCCTCCCAGAACCAGTCCGTGGTGTGTCTGCTGCTGAAGGTTTACCAAGGATTTCACATACATCGTCTTCATCCTCCAAATAAGCACTGAGATGGTAGGACAGCCACCCCATTCTACAGATGAAGTGATGAGTATTAACGGATTTGTGTAAAATCACCCAGATGGGAGCCCTGCTCGCCGATATGGAACCGCCTCTTGCTTATGACCAGATCCATGCCTCTGGCAACATCACATGTGTTATTATGCATATAGGGTGTGACACATTCCTTTAAAAAAAAAAAAAGTGTTTGGAGGAGAGGAACCGCCCAGTCCATGAAAAATTCTGATTAACTAATTTAGTTAGAATGACATAAAATACACACAACAATATCATTAGACAATATAATTCGATGAAATATCCTGAAGTCTTTGGTGATTCACGAGGCACCTCAGGGTCCTGAAGACCTGAGGTGTTTGTCCTTACGTCTCGAGTCCCCACTGCACATTTTGCTAAGGGACAGCGTGGGGGACAAAGCTGGACGCACAGTGGAAATCAGTATGGAAACATCCCCTGTCCCTACATTCCAGAAAGACAGAGCGTGGGCCGGCCCTGTGGCTATCGCTCACCATTCCCCGTGCTGTAGTCCTGAATGAGAACCTTCGGCGCTAGAAGGTGCACTCCGTTTGTCCTTCCGGTCCCCTTCCCCAGAGCCCAACCTGCGCTGCTCTCAGACTCCCACTCTCTTGCCAACATCAGGTTCTCCTTCCCTCTCACCTAGGGTCACCCCCCCCCCCCCCGCTCACTTCTCTGTGCCAGGGCACAGTGATTTCCCCAAACTTTCCCTGGGTCAGTTTGCTGGGGCTGCCACAACAGAGGACCACACAGCGGGTGACCTAAGTGCTCCCCCACCACATCTGCAGGTTGGGAAGGCCAGGGCCCTTCTCCGCCCTCCGAAACCGGTGGGGAAGAATCCTTTCTCATCTCTGCTGGTCTGTGTGGTGGTCGGCAACCCCTGGTGGTTCTCAGCTTTCAGCTGCATCCCTCCAGTGCCCTCGCTGCCTTGGCAAGTGGCTGGATTCTCCCCGTGGGTCTGCATCTCTGCATCTCTTCTCTTGTAAGGAGAACAGTCCTATTGACTCGAGGCTCCAGTCTACTCCAGTATGATCTCATCTTCACTAGTCCTCTCGCTAAGTCTGTAGTGACCCTATTTCCAAATGAAGTTACATTTGGAGGGACCAGGGGTTAGGACTTCAACAGATCTTTTTGGGAGGACGCATGTCAGCCCATGACATTGCAGGTGCTCCCAGGATGAAGCCTATACTCCTCAACGTGGCAGATGAGGTCATCCATGACCTGATCTCAGCATCCCTCCTGATGAGCCAGTTGAGTGTAGCTGTTTGCTGCTCCTGAAACACCCCACGCCTTCTCACCTTCCAGGGATGCTAACACTGTTCTGTCCCGTGAGGAAAATCTCCCAGTTTCCTCCCCTAAGGAACTCCTGTGCTTCCTCCCCTGTGATGCTTTCTTTGCCTCACCCTGGGGCCTTGGGGTCTCCTTTCTCCACAACCCAACCCCTACTCTTTATCACACCGTGCCAGAATTATTTGCTTGTGTGAGTTCCTGCAAGACTGTATTGAATGTCTTCCCATATTCAATGCTGGGCACAAAGCAAAGTTTGATGGTCCAAGCTTCCAAGAACCTGAAATGGCACCCACCTAAATCTTTTCACCTCACTTCCAGAATCTTCCATGTAAACTGGCCCCCTCATTTCCTATCCATCCCTGTCCCTCTCTAGCGCGCATCTCGGCTTCTACACCTGTCACCCTTCACACCACCTGGACTTGCTCCTCTGTGTCCACCGTGCTCTTCCTCTTGGTCACCCGAGTTCATGGGCATTCTCCACGCCTAGCTCAAATGTCAGTCCTTCCAGGAAACCTGCATTTGCTCCAGCCTGTTGGGCCCTTCACGTCGACTTCTGGTAGATGCTTATTTGGCACTGAGTCAAAGTGTGGGTTTGCAAAGATCATAGTTCCTTTTTTTGGAAAAACTCTGACTTTATCTGAGGAAATAGGCAAGTCCGTACTTTAGAAACAACCTGAGAGGTGTTATAGTATGGGTGTGTTTTCCGTGCTCTGCGGAACAGACTAGAAGAATTTAGTCTCAGGGAGAATTTGACTTAAGTTCTCCATGATTGATGACTGATTGATCGTGTTCTTCTGTGGAAGAGGAGTTCGAGGCTTCTAGAGGTTTGGAAACTTCACTGTTCAGGTCCAAAGAAACTGCAAGGAAGGGGTTTTAAAGCAAAATCCTTGGTTCCACATTTGTTTCTTTTTCTCCTCTGTCGGAGGAAGACATGCATGAGACCTACAGGCAATTTGGAAGGTGCAGCCCTTTTTTTTTAAGGCTGGAGGGCGTGGACCCAAAGGCCCAGATGGGGAGTGGGAGCTGAGCAGGGGTTAGGGGACAGGATGGGGAGACTGGGCACATTCCCGCTCCTCTCAGGGAAGTCAAAAGTTTAATCGGAAGTCAAAGTTTCCAGAATACCTGCATGGAGGTACCAAGAAATAAATACGTGATTGCAAGAGCCTTTGCTATTTTGAATTCCCTCCCATGGTACTGCCACCATCCAGTGCACTGAGGAGCTGTGTTATAATTATACACGATGAGTAGATCTTTGTAGATCTTTGTGCAGTCGGTAGGCTGGTTGGCTTTTGAATCCTGTCCTAGTCAACCCAGAACAGAGCTCTACAAAAGTGAGTACTCCCTGGTCCACAGGCTTGTTGACCCAAAGGAATGCCACAGAAATGGGGACAAGAAATGGATCTATCCCCATAATTCACAAAAGCAAATGCTCCTCAGTTTTAAACGACAGGAAATGGGGGGTGGGTGCAGGGCATAGCACTTCAGAAAAGAGGACGTGTGGTTTAGCGGTCAGAGCTGAGGAAGTTTAGAAGCCTTATTCTGTCTCATGTTCCAACATTAACTTCTTGTCAACCTTGATTTCATTTTTATAGGCCGAGGATAAAAACAAGCAATGGGTCAGGCCTGTTGATAAATCCAAGGCTAGAAACTTGCAAGGTTTTAAACTAAAATTATGACTTTCCCCAAACAAAGCTTTCTTTTCACTTTGCTCTTATAACTGAGCTATGGGGTTTAAAAATAACTCTCTTCTTTTGTTGGTTTCCACAGTCAGACAAATACCCCATTCAAGATACGGGACTCCCTAAAGGTATGTACACTTAATATAACTACTTGAACTTGTGATTATTTTAAGATCTTGAACAAAGCACTAGTCAAAGTCATCTCTTGTTACTTAAAGTTGTTAAACAGACTGACACTTTAGCTTTTGACTTGTTGATTGTCTCAGGCATGGATTTTCTTATTAAAGTCTATAAATTATCTCATTACAAATTATACATTAAATCCTTATGGTGTTTTTAAGATGCATAAAGTGAAGAGAGCCAGGACTCTGGGTTGCAAGTGACAGAAACCTAACTCAAGCTGATTTTAAAAAGGGAGGGGAGACATACTGGCTTCGGGTCTTTGGGCATTTGAAGGATGCTCTCAGGCTCAGTCTCTCTGTGTCTCTCATTGGCTCTGTCTTCATCTGTGTTGGCTCCATTTTGGGGCAGGCTTTCCCTTCATGGTGGGAAAGATCAAGAGGTCACCGACACCTCTAGTTGTACGTGGTGCCCGTCAAGATGGTGCCCCCCTAGCGCCCACAGCACGATTCTAGGGATGACAGTCATTCGGGGAGTTTGGGTCACGTGGCCATCTGTGAATCAGTTGCTGCCATCAGGAGGATGGAGGACATTGGTCAGGTCTGCGCCTTGAGGTTGGGTGGGGGAGGGCATGGAGTTAGTTCCACGCAAACCACAGGAAAGAGGCTTCTGTTACTAGAGAGAGGGGCAAAGGATGCTTGTCAGGCCCCAAAGCAAAGAGCAAAAAAAAAAAAACCACCAAAAACCCGAAACCCCCAAAAAACCTATCTTTTGTAGTTCATGGACCAATGTTTTAGCCATGGCGTAGACATGGCTAGGCTTAGCCTCTCCTAATTTCTTCCGTGGGGCAGTCTGCAGAGCCATGTCTGTTGTGGAGGCTTTCTGGTTGCCCTCCTGGAGCATTTCCCCTGTGCTCTGCTGACAAGCCAGAGAGGGAGGGGTGGACGGACGGGGTGGGGGACCATCCGATCTGACCAGCTTCAGAGACGGCTGGGGCCCCCAGGTTCCTGGAGAGGTAGGACTTCCCAGCACCCACTAATGTGGGTTTTCCTGGCAGTCCTTGTGATAGGGTAGTCATAGGTCACCTGACTGGAGGGTGGGGAGGGCACTCCCCGCCAGGGTCCACCTGAGGTTAAGTGCGGTGTTCTGCCAAGGCTCCCCTCCCTCCAGTCCTTACTTGCCAGACTCTTCCCCTTACACCCAGAAATTACACCGCTAGTGTTTCATTCCTTTTGCCCCCCTGTGCATGCCCTGCGAGTGGCAGTGATGTAGGGAAAAGAGATCAAAGGTCAGGTTTGAGTCCAAATCCTGGCTGTGCTCGGGGAGGCTTCTGGCATGCTCCCTTCCTCCTTTCCCCTGTTGGTGAATGACTCTAAGTGTCCTGAATCCTCCAGTCTGCGATTTGATTCTCTAGTTCAGCCAGGAGGTGGAAGATGCAAGCCAGGCGACCAGGGACAGATGGGAGGCAGTCTCAGGTGGTGTTCCTTAGACTTCAGTATGCAGTGAAGAATTATCGGGGGTGGGGGTGGGGGGGAGCTGTTTAAAATCCAGATTCTGGGCCCAGCTGCTCTAGAATCACGATGTGGTAGGTCTGGGGCCAGGCCCAGGAACCTGTGTGTAAATGCATACCTGAGTGGTTGGGAAGCAGACCTCACTTTAACCTAAGAAGCTTCAAGGATTTGGTGTGTCCACCAGGGAGGCATATAGACAAGAGAACCAAACTGTAGCCAGACCACCAGCTGGACTCTGAGTGCCCTCAGAATGGTGGTTCCACATGTCAGGGTCTCAGTTCCCTGTCTCCTAGTGCAGGAAGGACAGTGTTCTCCTCCCTCCAGAACACTAGTGAGAATCCAGTGAAATTAGTCCAGGACGGTGCCTGACACAGGCAAGCATCAGATGGTGGAGGGAAATCTGGCCACGGAAATGTGCAAAATCAGGCTTGAGGATGCTTTTCCAGCCCCGTGGCAAAAACAGCACTGCTTGAGACAACCACTGAGCTACAGTGACTCTGGAAATGCAATGTCATGTCTTGCCCTATCTAAAGATCTTTTTTAACACCCTTGAAAGTGATTTCCTGTTTTGGGGAAAAAAAAAAAAAAGGGAAAAAAGACTGGTTGCTTAGCCACCTGATACAATAATAATGGTATTATTGGGTTTCTCCTGGAATTTGAGATTTACAAAACCCTAATTAAACTGGTGAAGATTTTACAAGTAACATGACTGTGAAAACCACGTTTATGAGAAATGTGACTAGATCTTTCTTCTATCCTTATTCACAGAGAACAGTATAATTAAGCACATGATTTCTTATCTCTAAAGAAACACATCATCTTATACATAATGTCTAGAAGTTTAAAAACTTACCCCAAGGGGGCCTGGGTGGCTCAGTTGGTTGAGCATCTGACTCTTGGTTTTCGGCTCAGGTCGTGATCCCAGGGTCCTGGGGTGGAGCCCTGCATCTGGCTCCCTGCTCAGCGGGAAGCCTGCTTCTCCCTCTCCCACTCCCCCTGCTTGTGTTCCCTCTCTCGCTGTCTCTCTCTCTGTCAAGTAAATAAATAAAATCTTTAAATAATAATAATAATAATATCTATGACTTGATATCTGCTAGTATTTTTTTAAAACCTACCAATGGGGCCAATGTATAGATTTAAAAGTAAATATAATCTAATTAAGTCCAAACTTGGACTCTAACATTTAAGCGAATTTTAGGGGGTCCTGCTATATTTAACAGAGGATTTACCTGTAATTAGCTTGAACAATTTCCATATGGTTAAAAAGTCTTCAAAATTTATTTTCTTAAGCAGATTAAGCATGTTTCACAAAATCTTTATTATGCTTCTAGTATATTCCTACTGTATTCATGGGCAGTATAAAGCTATTCCTCATGCCGTCCAGACTAGAGTGGTTCTGAATTATGTGTTTTCACCATAAATCAACAGTGGAAATCTAATGTAACTCCAGTAATCAGCATGTTTTTGAGATGAAACATGTTGTTAAACTTGTTTTCTTATTGAGAACAAATGTGTAGCTTCTGCCTCCCCTGATTTTAGAGATTTCAGGGGGTTCATTTTGTTAGGACTCTTTTCTGAGAGCTGTTCTATGAGAATCTGCAGGCACTAAACTCAGGACTAATTTAAGAGTGAGGCTTATTTTATTAATTTTTTTTATTTGAGTATAGTTGACACAATGTTACATTAGTTTCAGGGGTCGGACATAGTGCAAAACAGTATGGAGGTTCCTTAAATGAAAATAGAATTACCATATGATTCAGTAATTCTACTACTGGGTATGTACCCAAAGAAAGCGAAAACACTTATTTGAAAAGATATATGCGCTCTTATGTTTATAGCTGCATTATTTGCAATAGCCAAGATAAGGAAGCAACCTCAGTGTCCACTGACAGATGAATGGATGAAAAAGATGTGTGTGTGTGTGTGTGTGTGTGTGTGTGTGTGTGTGTGTGGTAGAATATTACACAACCGTTAAAAAGGATGAGATCATGCAGTTTGTGACATGAGTGAAGCTTATTTTATATCACAGAGCTCCTGATATCTTGTAGAAACTGCTGGCTTGAGTGTTCTGAAGCGATTATGACTCTTCACAATTTGAGAGAAAATGTGTTTGGAAAAAAATTCTGATTTTTGAGCCACTGTTCCCAGTGAGGGGAAATTATTGCACATAAATACATCATAAATCAGTCAAGAGTTTATCATCTTTTTCTCTATGGTTCCTGCTCTTCTCTTTTATTGTTCAAAAAAAATTTGTGATGAATTTTAAGTTAAAGAGAAATAAAGTAGACTAATTCTATAGTTACTAAATTTGAGGCATCTGAACTCAAACATAGATGATTTTGGGGGGACCTTTTAGAACAATTTGTTAACTAAATGTATAAGTAGTGGTTCAGTTTGAAAAAGTTAGAAAAATAAATATGAAGATATTCACTAAAATAATTCGGAAGTAAAAATGTTTACCCAAAACTCACAAGCCAATATGTTGTATTTTATATGATCTCTCCCCTCATTGATTGACAGCATATTGTTAATAGGCTTCCTTGTTCTAAGAGGAAACCAAACACCCCTCCTGCCTGCATGATTTGCTATGTCCTGGTCCTGCTCATTCCAAGTTCATTGCCTCCCACTCAACCTTGACTGGGACTCCTGTTACAATAAACTCCCTCCTCCCCCAAATTATATGGTTTGAATACAAAGGTGACCATCCTGCACCATTTTTGAAAAAGATTTTATTTATTTATTTGAGAGAGAGCAAGTGAGAAAGTGAGAGAGCATGAGCTGGGGGGGAGGGGCAGAGGGAAAAGCAGGCTCCCCGCTGAGCAGGGAGCCCGACAAGGGACTTGATCCCAGGACCCTGAGATCATGACCTGAGCCGAAGGCAGACGCTTAACTAACTGAGCTGCTCAGGCACCCCCATCCTGCACAATTTTTTTTCCTTTGGGGGAGGGCAGAGAGGAGAGAGAGGGATATGACCACAGGAGTGTTTGGGATACCACTTCACAAAAGTAACTACATAAGTTCAAGTTATCCTCATATTGGGGAGAAAAAAACCATGCTTTTACAAAAATGCTGGGTTGACCGTTATGACAGTAGCCCTTCTGAGAATCGGTGTGACTGAAATCACACATCTGTTACTTTTTGCCGTAGTGCATCAGAATTCTGTGGGATGCCCGTTGGATGTCAGATTTCTGGGGGCCCCGAGATTCCAGTGAAGGAAGTCTGGTGTGGAGCCTGGGAATCTGCATTGTTAACCACACAGGTGCTTTCGATGCCACAATGCTGGGCACTGTATCTTGAGAAGCACAGGCCAAGGCAAGATCTCTACTGCTCTTGCTTCAAAAGATACGTGTAGAATCTTAGTGAAAAACCATGCTTTTAGTTTAAATTTCTCAGATAATACTATTAAGGGGAAAAATGTCCTTTAGTTGGAATCGAGTAGGAGGCCATGAATGCAGCCCCAGCAGCCTGGCACTTAATAGGTGAATGAATGTTAACGA